GAGATGTAATACAAAAACAGGAAAACCATTTTGGAACAAGGCACCATTCCCAAGAAGAGATAAATAAACTGGTCTTATTTATAATTGAGAAACCAGTGGAAACAATATATTTCAGATTGAACTTACTGTTGTTGGTTCATACTCTTGTTTGTGAAAGAACCTTCCAGAAAAAGAGTACCACAGGGGCAATTCCCCTATGAGGAGTGGCTACAGCAGCTGGGACTATGTGGCTTAGAATAAGGGCCAGTAAGGGGAGGCCTGATAGAGGTGTTTAAAATAATGTGTGGTGTGGAGAATGTGGAAAGGGAGATTCTTTCTTTTCCAGGGTCATTCCATAAAACTGTTTGGTGGGCACTTTAGGGAAGATAAAGGAAGTACTTCCTCTCACAGTGTACAGCTAGACTATGGAATTCACTGCCCCATGAAGTGGCCAATCTGGATGGCTTCAAAAAGGGATTGCAGAGATTCATGGGGGAGGAAGCCAGCAGAGCTACTAGCCTTACTGGCTAAGTGCTGTGTCCTTTACTAGAGGTGGCATGTCTGTGTGCACCAATTGCTGAAGAGCTTGGGTAGGTGGAGGTCTTGCACCCATCCTGCTTGAGGGATCCTGTGAGCAGCTGTGGGCACAGAATGCTGGACTAGATTGACCAGCATGGCTTTTCTTATGACAGTTTCCATGTGATTTCTCCTGGCTAAGCTCAGTGCCTCTCCATGGAACCAATAAATACATTCAAGAGAAAGTCATCACATGCGTACTAACAAACTGATGGAAGCTGAAGTAATGGCCCATAATTTCTCTCGAACTCAAAATTTTTAGTTCTTCTCACATCCTATCCTCCATTAGGACTTTCCTTAGGAAATTTCTGTCTTGTTCAGTCTAGACATACCTACATCCTTAGCTAAGGCTCAATTTAAACCTGGGTACAACCATTGAGAGATCTAGAAAGGCAGCCCAAGACCTTGAAAGTGAGAAGTAATCAATTATAAGTTAGAAATGTGAGCAATTGTCACAGTAGTTCCGAAACCCACACATCCAAGGAAAGGCCAAACATTCAGGCACCTGTACTGGTTCATTTCAACAAACCAATTCAGCACTTTTCATTTCTAGCAGTAGTAGGTATTTTGCAAAGTGAATGGGTCTTAATTAAACATTCAAGACCAAGCCACCTAAAACAATGATAACAAGTTCTCAAAAATAGCAAGGAAAACTTCCCTTTTTAAAGGATTTTGCTTTTTATTGAAGGCTAGGAATAGGAACGGAACTGGCTTAGCTAGTCTAAGCAACAACTAACAATATGGGTTGCTTCTAACAATGTATAAGACTCAGCCCTTCCAGGAGTCACCTGCAGACACAAGAGGGCCACTCCTTTGAGGTCATTCCATCTCTTTTTTCAGGAGTTAATAGCTCATGATTATATTATAGCTCAGTGTAAGCATTCTCCAGGATGTAGTTCTACTTGTCCTGGGAAGCTCTCAAGTCTTGCCTACCCTGAATTCATCCATGTGGTTGGCCCACTGCCATTCATGCAAGCTCTGCTGGCCTGCTGCATTCCAGACATGAGCATTTCCATTCATTCCAAGTTGTTCCTGAAGTGTTAAATCGCCATTCCAGAAGAAGTGAATGCCATTAGCGAAACAGATTCTGCAGGGCTGGCTGTGCGCGTTCCGTCAGTCTTGAAAGTTGCCTTTTGCATTACAGTAAGGCAAGGGAAAAGATATTGTTGCTGAAAAGATGGATTTCTCCCAGCTACTGTGAGGATTGTAGCTAAGCCAAGAAAGAGCAGGGGATCCGGGCGTGGGGGGGTGGGGGGAGACGACATCATTATCCTTGCTAAACTAGAACTGCCACTGCCATACCCCTGTGAGTCCTTGCCTCACAACCCTGCTGGAAATAATCTTAGAATCATAGAATAATAGAGTTGGAAGGGGCCAAGTTCCTATCTTATTAGCCTCAATAGCAAAAGACTTGAGACTTACATTATGAATTCACTCAGGAGAGAAATCCTAAATCTTTTCTTTTATTCTTAAGGCCATCCTCTCTTTAAGTACAGAACTGTCCCTTTAACAATATACCTGAATGAGTGGAAAGTGCCATAGAAAGTATTATTAATCTTAAATATTATTTAACAAATCTAGGAGCTTGTCCACACTCTTCTCCTGAACAGCTTCACCAGGACAGAAAGCTGGGAGAAAACAGATCTTATTTTGGAAACCTGTGATGTTTCAGGTATAGCATGGCTCAGAAACTGAAATTCTCCCCCATTCTCACAGCCCAGGAACAGGAGTGTGGTAGAAGGGTTCATCTGATGCTCAGCTAAGGGGCATTGTGACATCAAGAAGTGGACAACTGACCTCTTCCCTTTGTCCTCTTTTGTATTTTATACATAGCCAAAAGTTTCACAGTGGCAGGCCGGGCCTAGTATGAACAGATATTGCTTGGAAAGTTGACAACTGGGTGACATTGTATACTTGGGTTGGGTAGCGGGTGAAGAGGGATACGTATTCTAGACTGTGGGTAACAACTGATCTGCTTTGTATTGTACAAAGGTGAACTCAGCCTGGGTTCAATGCACATTTGCACTTTTTGATGGCAGTGCTAATTCTACTACTACTATTAATAACAATATTGGTAACAACAACAACTAGTTATAACACAAGACATTTGGTAGATTCTGTGTGCAGGGATTAAACTTTCAGCCATTTTGAATGTGGGACTTGGAGTTATAAAAATGCTGTATTTTTACATTAGGTGCTGTTTGGAAAGGTGGATTGACATCTAGCATTTAAGAGGGAAGGTAAATATCAAAGGAAGACTAAAAGTTAAGCCTAGGAACTTAAATATTAGGGCAGAACGTGGACTCAGAGGAAGATGAAAAGTTCAGTCAGGATCTGGAAATTGAGGAGAAACAGACAGAAACAGAACTTGGTTCTTAAGGACTCTTTCTGACTGGCTCAGAGGCAGGAAGGCCGAATGGAGTGAAGCATATCCTTGTTATGGGACTCCCAGGTGGCCTCATTACCGGCTTTAGATGCAGTCCCAACTACACCTGTTCCTAGGCAGAGACAGCCTTGCTATTGTGATTCATGCTCTGATAACCTCAGGACTAGACCACCATAAGTAGACTGTGCAAGGCTGCCCAGAACCTGCAGCTCTTGGAGTGCAAGAGTGATACCCAGATCGCTCCTGCATCAAGGGAACAGCGCTGGATGCCTATTAGCGAGCGAGCTGTGCTCAAGGCTCTTTGGCTGCATTCACAGTCCTAATCAACTCAGGCCTTGACCATCTTTCCCAGTGCGCACTATTTTCTGATGTGTGGTCTGAGAACTGAAACTTGTGGACAGCTTCAGATACAACTTGCAGACATTTCATTTACTCAAGCATTCTCTGACGTGTAGTCATACTGCTCTGTTTTGCAATTCATGTAATATTCTCAGTGTTATTCTTTTTATATTTTTACATTGGTTTTATATTGCATTTTAGAGTCTTCTTAGAGTTCTTAGAGTATCCAGCAGGACACAAGCAGTTTAATTAAATTAAAAATAAGTAAAGCTGAAAAGCCAAGGTGAGAATTAAGAAAACAGATCAAGAGAAGAATTGGGAATCCTGGTGTTCCAGAGCTGAAGTCGGAGTGCTGTTGCACAAAGAAGCCATTATGAAGCCCGTAATCCAGATGAAAGAGCTGGACTGAGAGAGCTGGAAGCTGTTGCTTGATCAGTGTTGGTTCAGTTATGGAAACGGTCTGCATCATTCAGATGCATTTCCCTCTACATCTTTCTATTTGCTTTTATTTATTGAGTTATTGATTTTATTAATTTTTAAAAGGCTGACCATTAGCATTGCACTCTCTGGGTGACCATTACAATCAAATTACCAATAGGTAATATGAATAAAGTAATACAATTAAAATACACAACATAAAATAGCATATAAATAATCACCAACAATAAAACTTAAGTTAGTAAATTAAAACCAGTCCAAATTGACATAAAAGTAATCTAAGGGGTGCCATTAGTGCATTGGAAAAGAAAAGAATTTTTTTCAGGTGCCTAAAACTCAGCAAAGGTGATCCCTGACAAATCTCTGATAGTAAGACACTCCATACTTATGGATAACTGTTCAAATTATTCTAAAATTGTAGTGGTTCCTTCTAAATGCATTTTTGACAACTGCTCAACTGGTCATCCTACCAAATCTTTAAGGAAAATGCATTGCTTGTTTTGGAATACCTTTGCCTGAAACCTTACTATTCACCTCATGGCTCATGCCGTACCACATTACCCAGTTCAGAAAGCTGACTGGGCTAATAATTCAGCTCCACAGGTTGAAGGGTACTTTAGTGGTGGTTTGTTTATTTGTATCCCACCTTTTCTCCTGAGTGGAACTCAAGGTGGCTACATGCGGATCCCAGGTGGTCTCCCCTCCAAGCTCAGGCCAGCCTAAGACCTGCTTAGCTTCAACATTGTGGATGCCTTATTTTGCCAGTGCTGGTCCCATGTTTTTGAGAGCTCTTGACCAAAGATCTACAATGGGTTTGCTCCCCCAGTGAGTCTGCCTTCCTACTGCTCCTGTCATCAGTTGCCTTTGCTTTTCATCTTCTTTTGCATCATTGCAACCACTTACTTGCTTGTCAAGCAGAAAGCAACTGAGCAAGTAGGCAATGGCAGCTGCTGCTCCTTGCCACCACTGCCGTCCATGGTTTTCCACCAGAGTAAACGACAGGTCAACAAACACCTGTGATGATGTTAAGAAGAAACAAACCAAGAGGACTTTCCTCAACAAATGCCCGTACATGCCCACCATTAATGCTGGCCCTGCCTTCTACAGTCCAGCATGCAGTGTGGCACATTGCTTCAGATCAAAGTAAAATATCAGCGCAACAAAATATCTGTGTGGGAAAGCATGGAGGCACCTGGCCTCTCCTATTTCACTGGGGTTGTAACGTGGGCTGTCTTTGCTGTGCAATTAGTGAGCAGGAAGGTGTTCGCTTGATGTCACTTACTTGGGGTGTTGAGCAGACGTGACTTCTTGCAGTGGTAAGTTGCCTCCTGTTCACAGTATTCGGCACTATTTATCATTGCTTCCAGCTGCTCCATGCTGCTGTTGTAGTTGAAGTTCATGCTGTATGGTTTCCCAGGATCAGACCCATGGACTCGAGTCAGCTCCGAGTTGTTGTGTTGGACCACAGTCCAGATCTTATCTTCTGTTAAGTGAAATGAAATGAGGGGGAAATGAACAAGCTGGGAACAACTGTGGGCTTCTCACATTTGTTACAATAGCATCAGGACACAGAACACTGAAATTGATGCCCTTTGGTCAAATGCTAAGTCAAAGACAGGAAGAATCTCAAACTGTTCATTTTAATCCAATGTATCAGACTTAGGATAAAACAGGTTTATCTGCAACCAGAAATGATCCAGAGTAACCAAGATGCTGCACAATTTGCAGTTGAGACTAATCAGGCAGGAAAACCTGAAAAATTAAACTGCTGAAACTTTAACTTGTGAAAAGTCCCAATTTATACTTTTACAATTTACAGTTTATGATGCACCTTCTCACTTTCTGAGTCTGTATGGGACGGGTCAACAAAGCACAGAGAGAATTTGCTCAACCAGATAACGACATCACTGGATTAAAGTGGGGCCAGTTGTCCTACCACTCCTACAGAAAGCAAACCTCTCAAAATTCAATGGCACAAAGGAGAATGCTTTGCCTACCTCTGCTATTAAGTGCTGGCCTGGAAGACCCATTCCTGATGGGAAGATAAAATTGTACCTCAATTTTAGTGCAGTGTAAAAAGTAGTCTGCTATTTCACTTTGCGGGTAGGACAGAACTGCTTTTCCCCTTTAGCTACTGGCTTCTTCACCATGGAGAAGGGGAAGAAAAAAGCAATATTGAGTTATGATTGGGAGGGAGGGAGGGAGGGAGGGAGGAAAGAAACTGTGTGCATTTTAACAAAGTGAGAAAGGTTACTTTTTCAGGAATGAAAAGAAAAAGAGCAGCTATGATGATCAGCAATTAAATTGGCTAGAGGCTTGAGGCTGATCAACCACCTTCTCCATTTAACTCCATGCTGCTTCCATAGTATTTACAGTGGGCAGGTTCTCAAGTAATGAGACCAGTGCATTTCTGCCTTTACAGTGGTGGAGAGGAGTGAACAGAGCAATTTCAGGAAATGTATTACTTTCTCTGTATAAAGTACTCTTTGTAACACAAAAGAGAACATAAGAGCTGTGCTAAATCAAACCCGTGGTCTATTTAGTCCTGTATCCTATTTCCCATAATGGCCAACCAGATGCAACTGAGAAGTCCACAGGGAGAACAGGAATTCAATAAGCATCCCCCACTGTTGTTGCCCTGCAACTGGCATTGAGACGCATGCTGCCTCTGGTCCTTCGGGTAGCCCAGAGCCACTGAAGGGCTCATTCTCCATAAATATGCATAAGAACCTCTGAAAGTCATCTAAGTTGGTGGCCTTCACCACATCATGCATAATTAAGCAATGAAATAAGCAAAGATCAATTTCCATGTTCTTTGATCAATGAGAAGATGGGCTGTGATAATGTCACTGGTTTGCTTCTTCTTGCAAGACAAATATCTGGTACCTGAAGGGGGCCCAAAACCATCTGGAAATATCTTTTAAAATTGAACTGGTAAAAGTACTGTGTACACCTAAAACTCCTATGTTCACAGATAAATGTAACACAAGCCAGGATCCAGCTGTACCATAAGCACAAAGTAATGCATAGCTCATCCATGCGAACCTAGGCACAGGATGATCGGTGAAACTATGGGACTTCAAAACCATGCAAGGTTTCAGACTGAGTGAATCCACAGAGAGCTCAAATTCCAAACAAAGTAGGTAACTCCAGGAAAAGAGTTACCTCTCTCACACACATGCTTTCATGTTCATATACCTTTCTCTTGTTTTCACATGCATGCTCAGTACATAAAACAACTGTCTGACCCTCCATTCAATCATACACAGGTAATCATTCTCCCATTCACACCTCTGACTCACATATGCTCATGCCTATACATTCCACCCCCCCCCCCCTTTTCACTTTCTCTCTCATATACTCATACAGTGGAGGGAGCGGGGAGGTATGAAAGGAATTAGGAGAGCTAGCTGAAAGTGTGGAACTCACTCCCCACAGTCCAAAAAGCATCAAGACTTTGATTCAAAATCTCATCGTAACAAAAGCATGGAAAGCTTTTCACACATGTCAGGCAGCTCTCCTTTGATATGTTTCTTATAAACGAGCAATGGCTCTTGTTGTTTCCTGCAGTTATTATTACAGCCACATCAGTCTCTCTCCCTGTGAGAGCTCAGTTCCAGGGTACAAATTCTTCCTTTAACCTTCTGCCTTCCAAACTCAACAGGCCCTTTTTGGCAGTGCAAATATAGTGCACATTGCACATTACAAGTTTAGAATAGTGGTTTAGACTGGCCTGGCGGTTCCCACTGTTTGTCTATAATTAGGCATTATGGTGATTTAAGAGGGAATGAGGGAGAGAGCAAGGCAATATATTCTAGCTTTTTAAGATAGTATGCCAATCTATTAAAATGCCCCTGACAATATTCCACATTCTACCATTGAGGCTTGCCGTGCCACTTGAAAAACTCTTGCTGAGCTTTCCTAGTTAAGCTACAGGTATTTACCATCCTGCATATCCCTAAAGTTACTTATAAAACATTTTTTAAGCAAAACAAAACTATTCCCCCATGGTAAAACAGCTGAATAAGATGTTTTCTCTGGGTCAAATGGATGTACTGATGGCTGCTCATTCTCTTTTGCTCCCAGGAATGATGGTCTTTTCTTTGGAGCATATGTTATACACTCAGAAAAGAAATGTTAAGTGCAGACTGCACCCTACACTTTATGCAATCATCTGATATAAAGCCAAACTTTCCATAAAAGCATAAAAAGGAAAGAATGGAAGGAGGGAATGGACTGAAAGAATGCTTTTTAAATGGGCCTGTTTTCTGCAAGCTGGTGAAAAGGATGCTGACAGATATCCAGAGAAATAAGGCGGGGGAAGAAGAGTACTTAATTTGGGGAGGGGCATAAATCTATATTTGCATTGCACTTTCCTTCCACGAGGCTGTACATTGACTGTAGTTTCACTACATAAAAATTAGCTCAGTGCTGGAGTAGATGGGGAATATCGACTAACTGTGCAGTCCAAGATGCAAAAGTAAGTCCCACTAAGTTCACCCAAGCTTAGTTTCAGGTATGTGATGTAGGATTGTAGCATAAATAGGAAATATGCAGCTCTGCAAGAAGATCCCTAGGAAAAGCTGTATTCTGTTTTCTGCATAATACCTGTTTTTAAAAAGCCACAATATTTTTACGTTGCCTAATTATTCACTCTGGTTTTACTAGGCATGGAAAAGGACAAAGAAAATTGTTGCTTCCTGAAACCCTGCTTTCATCACTTTGACATATTATTTTCTCTCTCGGGCTTCTGGGGCATCACACATTTTTGCTGCTATCAGTGCCAAAAGGAAGTTGTTGCTTGCTGCTGTTACTATTTAAAATAAAAGTTGGGATTCTCAGGATGCTGAATTCTACATGAAATATCACCTACTACACTTTTTCTTCATTTCTGTTGAACTGGACCATAAATACACCACTCTGATAAGAAGATCCCATTATTTTCATACTGATAGATGCCTGGGAAATTTATTCAGGATGCAATCCTATGAATATTTAGACATTACGAAGTGCTACAATTCCCAACATCTCTGCAACCAGCCACGCTGTCTGAGACATGCTGTAATTGTAGCACTTTTTTCCATCTAAAAATGCATTGGACTGCATCCCAAGGAATTTGTGTGGCATGTGCTCTCTTGTTGCACCCGCCATCCCATCCCCATCTCACTGGAGCATTGTGGTATGTTTACCAAAAATATGAAATTGGGCATTCCAACAGCTAACCATTGATTCTGCCTCTGCCCTGATTGTCCCTTACATGCCTTGTTTGTTACCCTACAGTCCCTATAAATGCTTTCCATGGTTTACTGCACTTCCCTTGCATGTTCTCCATTTCCTCTACTACCATTCATGTGCTACAGTAGCAGGCAAATCCATCAAAAGACAATCACATCTCGAACTCCATAGGCGGAACTTTCAAATCTTTGGAAAGTACGTTAAATACAGTGATTTCCAATGGTTTCAGTTCATGCTTTCAGTGGCTTCAGTTCAGCTGGTGAAACACAAAGTGAAGGAGCAGCTGAAACAGATAGAGGCATGGCCAGTGCAAGCCATCCCAATTTCCTATGAAGTGGGGTCAGAATGTAGAAATTTCGAGGGCGGCAAGGGCTTTCTCAATTCTCACAGCCATTTTACTCCATCCATGAAGCCCGAAGAAAACCGTGACTAGGGAAAAAGTTTTATTTATTTTATTTTTTATTTATTTAAAGTTTTGATATGCTGTCCAATACCAGAGTCTCAGGACCACTTACAAAAAAAAACAAAAACCGAAACAACAACATACCAACAAACAACACACTGCATTCAACAATTAATGATAAAATCAAAGATAAAACCAATTGAATGTTAAAATGTTGGGAAAATAAAAAGGTCTTTATCTGATGCCGAAAAGAATAAAGTGATAGTGCCGGGCAAACCTCCCTGGGGAGCAACTTCCAAAGTCAGGGTGCCACCGCTGAAATGGCCCTTCTGCAGGTAGCTATTCTTCTAATTTCCTTCAAAGAGGGTTCCCAGAGCAGAACCTCTGCCTCAGATCTCAAGGGGTGGGCAGGCACATAGGGAAGAAGATGCTCATTCAGGTATCCAGGACCCAAGCCGTTTAGGGCTTTATAGGTCATTACCAGCACCTTAAATTGGGCCTGGATTTCAATTGGCAGCCGGTGGAGATGGAATAGGACTTGCGTGATATGGGAGTGTCTGCTGGTCCCTGTTAATAACCTGGCAGCTCTATTCTGGACCAATCAAAGTATCCAGAAGTATTTCTGGTGGAAAAGTATGGCGGGGGAAAACATTTTAATCATTTTGGTTTTAGTGTCATTTTTCAGCTGACAAAACTAATATATGACTGCTAGACAGGATCTAGATGCCCAGGGGTTATTTTGGAGGGTCATCTCTGACCTCAGAAACTCACTCCATAGCTGGAGCCTGAGTTGGGTGCATCTTCCCTCCTTCACCTCACATCAGGTCTGTTAGTGTGGGAGAGGA